GTATCTGTTAGCTCTCTTCCTATCATAATTCTGTGTTTTCATTGCTTTTCTGGCTATTCTTGCATGTTTGTTTTCCTTATGAACTTGAGTATTAGGTTTTCTGGCTTTGTAAAAAGTCTCCTTGGCATTTTTATTGGGATCACGTTAAGTATATAAGTTAACATAGGGAGAACAGGTATCTTGATGATGCTGAGACATCCTGAGCAAGAACAAGGACTGTTAATTGATTCAAATATACATTTGTGCCTTTCAAGAATTTTTAAATTAATTTTGAATATTTTCTAAATGTTTATTCTTAAATATTTTTGCTATTATGAATTTTAATTATTTTTATCAATATCTAATAGTTGTACATATTTATGGGATATAGAATCAAATTTCAACACTTGTATATAGCATGTACATCAGATCAGAGTAGTTCATTAGCATTTCTGTCTCCTTATCATTTCTTCATGTTGTAGCCTTTGAGCTTCTTTCTTCTAGTTCTTCATAAGATATATAATAGGTTATTGTGAACTATAGTCACCCACTCTGCTGTGGAACACTAGAACTTACTCCTTCTGTATAACTGTTTTGGTACTCATCATCCAGTCTCCCTCTATTTCCCTCCCCCCTTTAATCCTTTATATTTTCTTGCTGGTTATTATTATGTATATAAATATTAATATTTTGTATGTTTGTTATATACTACTACCTTACTGAATTATTTTACTAAGTTTTAATATTGATTCTCTAGGGTTTGATTTGTTTTGTTTCGTGGTTCTGGGGTTTGAACTCAGGGTTTCCTGGTGGCCAGGCAGGCACTCTACCACTTGTGCCATGCCTCCAGCCCTTTATTCTTTAATTACTTTTCAGACAGGGTGTGGTACTTTTTGCCTATAGTTGGTCTTAGACCATACTTCTTTTTTTTTTTTTTTCATTTTTCTTTTATTATTCATATGTGCATACAAGGCTTGGTTCATTTCTCCCCCCTGCCCCCACCCCCTCCCTTACCACCCACTCCGCCCCCTCCCTCTCCCCCTCCCAATACCCAGCAGAGACTATTTTGCCCTTATTTCTAATTTTGTTGTAGAGAGAGTATAAGCAATAATAGGAAGGAACAAGGGTTTTTGCTGGTTGAGATAAGGATAGCTATACAGGGCATTGACTCACATTGATTTCCTGTGCGTGGGTGTTACCTTCTAGGTTAATTCTTTTTGATCTCACCTTTTCTCTAGTTCCTCTTCCCCTTTTCCTATTGGCCTCAGTTGCTTTAAGGTATCTGCTTTAGTTTCTCTGCGTTAAGGGCAACAAATGCTAGCTAGTTTTTTAGGTGTCTTACCTATCCTCACCCCTCCCTTGTGTGCTCTCGCTTTTATCATGTGCTCATAGTCCAATCCCCTTGTTGTGTTTGCCCTTGATCTAATGTCCACATATGAGGGAGAACATACGATTTTTGGTCTTTTGGGCCAGGCTAACCTCACTCAGAATGATGTTCTCCAATTCCATCCATTTACCAGCGAATGATAACATTTCGTTCTTCTTCATGGCTGCATAAAATTCCATTGTGTATAGATACCACATTTTCTTAATCCATTCGTCAGTGCTGGGGCATCTTGGCTGTTTCCATAACTTGGCTATTGTGAATAGTGCCGCAATAAACATGGATGTGCAGGTGCCTCTGGAGTAACAGTCTTTTGGGTATATCCCCAAGAGTGGTATTGCTGGATCAAATGGTAGATCGATGTCCAGCTTTTTAAGTAGCCTCCAAATTTTTTTCCAGAGTGGTTGTACTAGTCTACATTCCCACCAACAGTGTAAGAGGGTTCCTTTTTCCCCGCATCCTCGCCAACACCTGTTGTTGGTGGTGTTGCTGATGATGGCTATTCTAACAGGGGTGAGGTGGAATCTTAGTGTGGTTTTAATTTGCATTTCCTTTATTGCTAGAGATGGTGAGCATTTTTTCATGTGTTTTCTGGCCATTTGAATTTCTTCTTTTGAGAAAGTTCTGTTTAGTTCACTGCCCATTTCTTTATTGGTTCATTAGTTTTGGGAGAATTTAGTTTTTTAAGTTCCCTGTATATTCTGGTTATCAGTCCTTTGTCTGATGTATATTGGCAAATATTTTCTCCCACTCTGTGGTGTTCTCTTCAGTTTAGAGACCATTTCTTTTGATGAACAGAAGCTTTTTAGTTTTATGAGGTCCCATTTATCTATGCTATCTCTTAGTTGCTGTGCTGCTGGGGTTTCATTGAGAAAGTTCTTACCTATACCTACTAACTCCAGAGTATTTCCTACTCTTTCTTGTATCAACTTAAGAGTTTGGGGTCTGATATTAAGATCCTTGATCCATTTTGAGTTAATCTTGGTATAGGGTGATATACATGGATCTAGTTTCAGTTTTTTGCAGACTGCTAACCAGTTTTCCCAGCAGTTTTTGTTGAAGAGGCTGCTATTTCTCCATCGTATATTTTTAGCTCCTTTGTCAAAGATAAGTTGCTCATAGTTGTGTGGCTTCATATCTGGGTCCTCTATTCTGTTCCACTGGTCTTCATGTTTGTTTTTGTGCCAGTACCATGCTGTTTTTATTGTTATCCATACTTCTTCTTCCTATGCCTCCTGCATAGCTGGGACTGCAGATATGCACCACCACACCTACCCCTCTCTAGGGTTCATGTCATCTGAAAATTCAGTTTTATTTTGTATTTTTCCAGTTCCTATATCTGTAATTGTTTTATTTAATTGCATTGGTTAGTATCTTCCAAATACAGACTGAGGACATGGCTTAAGCAATAGAACCCTTATGGCCCTAAGTTCAGTCCCCTGTACCACCAAATAAATAAATAAATCTTCCAAATAATGTTAAATAATAATGGAGGTAGTCATATTCTTGCATTGTCTGTTATCTCATGGGGGTTCCTTATTAAGTAATGTATTGGCATTAGGATTGAGATCTATATGCTTACGTTATAGAGGTATTCAGCCATTCTTATTTTTTCAAGAATTTAAAAAACAGGGGTTTCAACTCAGGGCCTTGCACTTACTCGTCAGGTGGTCTACCAGTTGAGCCCCAGCCCCAGCCCTTTTTTGCTTCAGTTATTTTTCAGATAAGTTCTCAGTACTTTTTTTCTGAGGCTAGCCTCAGATCATGATCTTCCTACCTACACTTCCTGTGTATAGGTAGGGATGACAGGCCCATACTACCACACCAGGCTTGTTTTGTTGAGATGGCGTCTCACTAACTTTTTGCCTGGGCTGGCCTTGAATTGCAGTCCTCCTGATCTCTGCTTTCCAAGTGTTTTTCAACAATTTTTATTTGGAATGAAAATTTTATTTTATCAAAGGTTTTTCAGCATTTTGAATGTAGTCACATAATTTTTCTCCTTAGATTCATTTATAAGATGATTTAAGCTAGTCACCAGGCTCACACCTGTAATCATAGCTACTTGGGAGGCAGAGATCAGGAAGATAGCAGTTTGAGGCCATTATGGGCAAATAGTTAGCAAGACCCTATCTTGAAAATACCCAACACCAAAAAGTAATGGCAGAGTGGCTTAAGTTCATATAGCACTTGCCTAGCAAGCATGAAGCCCTGAGTTCAAACCCCTGTACCACTAAAAAAAAAAAAAAAGACTTATATTAATCAGTTTCCTAATGTTGAAGCATCCTTGCATTCTTGGTATAAATTCCATTTCATTGTAGTGTATTACTTTCTTATTATAGTATTGTTACCTATTAACTAATGTATTACTTAGAATTTTTACATTAATATTCACAAATGTTTCAATCAGTAATTTTTCTGTACATGTTTATCATCTTAATTAGGTTTAGTTATCATTGCTTCAGAAAAAGATTATGAACATTTTCTGTTCTCTGAAACAATGTATTATCTATACATTTGGTGCTATATGGTTGTTGGGAGACTGTTCTCAATTCCCTGTAGGTCTATTTGCATTTCTGCTCATCTTGCAGATTTTGCACTAAGTACCCTTTGTTTCCTACTCCTACTTTTTCTCTTTGTATAATAGACAATGTCTTTCAGCCTTAGAAGATAGTGTTTCCATCTTAAGTAAAGGGCAGGTTTCTTTATAGCCCTAGAAATAAGTGCTCCCTCTGAAGTAAGAGCAGATGTATTTACTATCTAGTCTAGTAACGTTTTCCTTAAGAACAAAGAGTAGGCAGGCTTAATACCCATTGTTAAGTAGTCAAGTGTCATTCTTACAAGTGCCATACTATAATGCAACCTTTTGTGGATCCAAGTTTTATTCTGGCTCTCTTTGCATTTGTCTAGTGGAATTTGGGGCCAGGTGTGATAGTGCACGCCTATAATCCCAGCTATGTGGAAGGCATAGGTAAGAGGAGCATGGGTCCAAGACTGGCCCTAGGCAAAAAGTATGAGACCCTATCTGAAAAATTAAGCAATAAAGGGCTGGGGTGTGGCTTGAGTGGTAGAGTGCCTGCCCAGCCACCCCCCAAACACTAATACTCTGTCTGCTTTTATTGCTGTAATATATTGTCTTCTATCTCTGACCAGGAGTCTTATTTTCTACTAGCACCCATGAAATTGTGGCAGATTGACTTGTTAGCTGCACAGAGGGTAAAATCTCATACCCTTCACATTTCTTGACATTGGTCTTTAAATTTGTGGTAACATTGCCTTACAAACTATTTTGTAAAATAGTTTGTGCAAGGCTTTTTCTATTTCCTCTCTGGGAATCAGTCTGTTCAAGCTTTTTATGGGTCCTGCTCACTTTAAGAATTTGTATGTGCTTATTTGCTTGGGACAAAGGGATGAGATCTCTTGAATAAACTTTATTTTTCCATTGTTTTTCACTTTGCTGCGGGGGGATCTCCTTGCTGATCTTTTATGAAGAACCATTATTATCATTTTAGGTAAATACAGCTTGCAGTAAATCACAGGGAAAGTATGCCTAGAAGTTAAAGTTGTGAAGATGTGTGTTTTTAATAGGTGGGGGTCGTGCAGTCATTGTAAGGTGAATGTTCTGTTTCTTTTTCGGCAGGTGGTGGTTGTACAGGCAATTAGTGCTCTCTGTCAGAAATACCCTCGGAAACACAGTGTCATGATGACTTTTCTCTCCAACATGCTCCGAGATGATGTAGGTGGACTACTTTTTACACTTAAATTCTCGTTATTATCATTACCTATCACAGTGTTTTAAGCATAATTCTGTATCATCTCAGTATGCTCTCAGATAGTATGCTTAAAATTCCACTTGCTGTCTTATTACTAAACATGCTATTTGCTTGGAGGGAAAAAAAAACTTGTTTGTTTTAAATGAAGGGAGGGCACTGAAATTTGAGTATCTTTAAGTTATGCGTCTTGGAGTATAATAAGCATTTCTACAAAAAGTGTCCTTAGAACAAGTGGCAGTTTTATCTTCTCTTTTGCCAGGGAGGCTTTGAATACAAGCGTGCCATTGTGGACTGCATAATCAGCATTGTGGAGGAGAATCCTGAGAGCAAAGAAGCAGGTCTAGCCCACCTGTGTGAGTTTATTGAAGACTGTGAACATACTGTTCTAGCTACCAAGATTCTACACTTGCTGGGCAAAGAGGGCCCCAGAACTCCTGTCCCCTCCAAGTATATCCGTTTCATCTTTAATAGGGTCGTCCTGGAGAATGAGGCTGTCAGAGCTGGTAAGTCACGGTAACACTAACAGTGATGTAGTTGCTTGTCTGTGGAAATACTTACCTCAAGAGGGTGGTAATGAAATTGGAAAATGAATTCGCAAGATTTATTTGATGATGGGATTGAGCCTAGCCTGGGCCCAGCTATATAGCTTTTCCTTTTTGTTCCAGTTTCCATCAACATTTTTGTCTTGGATTGAAGACAAAACCCCAGGCTTTCAGTGTGATAGGAATGCTGTGGTGGCTCCCCATTCCCATCAGATGAATGTGTACTGAGTTTGTCGGGGGCGCATCTGTGTATTTATATGTGATTCTTCCTCTCTGATCTTCCCTGCCCCTTAGCATATGAACAGGTGCGTATCTCTCCCATTAGAAATGCAGAACCTCTATAATCCCTTGTCTCTTATACTTTCCTTCCCCTTTGAGATAATCTTGAAATACCATTAGTAGCTGCCTCCCAAGAACTCATTTTCTGTTTACTCTTCAGCTCAATATAGTTTAACCTTCTCCCTTAACACTCTGAAGCTTTTTTTCAAAAATACTTAAAAACTGGCTGGAAAAATCAAGTTAGACTCAGTTCTTATCCTTGTTCACCTTTCAACTTTATGTGCTTATATTTACTAAATACTTCACGAAGCCTTCTCTTCCCTTGGTTTCCACTGTAGCTTGTATTTTCTATAGTTCTTCAGTCTTACTTTTAGAGCGTCTCTTACCAGGCCCATTGATTAAAATGTTAGTTCTCTGTAGGGTTTCATCTTTTTGATATACACATTCTTCCTGGTGATAATTTTCAGTGCTCTATCTTGTATATCCAGTCTACCTAAGGCACTTTAAATACAAACTAACCCAAACTGAAATCTCACTTTATCATCCAGAAGATAGAAACTTCTTTCACTGCTTTACAACCCCTATCTTTATTTTTTGTGGTACTAGGGTTTGAACTCAGGGCCTACACCTTGAGCCACTCCACCAGCCCCTTAGTCCATTTCTTAGCGCAGTCATTGTCATTGGTGATGATTTAGGTTCTCATTCATTTCAGATGCCTAGTGCTGGTCTGACTGCTTCTAGTCTCACAGATATCTAGTCATTCTCCATACTCTGCTTTAAAAAAAAAATCTTTATAATACACCAGTTTACCCCATATCTGGTGTCCTTTATTAACAACTTTGAGGTTGAACTACATCTGAATTTTTATTTATCTCTCATCTCTCACTTGTAATCATTTGTGCTCCATCACAGGTCCAATGTCAGCCTTGCTCTCCTGGGTCCAGTAATACATCACGCTTTCTTTTCTGGGCACAGGTCATTTGTACTCATCATTCTGTCTACCTTTGATACTCTTTTCCTGCCTTTTCCCTCTGGCTAATGCTACTTTTTCTTCAAAGTTTAGTTTAAGTTAGTGTCAACTCCTTGTTTTACTCTCCACCACCAATTCTGTTGTAAGTCTCATTCTCTGTGTATTCACCCAGTACTCTCGATAATAGTTCTGTTGAAAGAAAAAAATTAATAGTAGTTTTTATACTTGGGGCTCACTGTTTGAGATTAGAACTTATGAACTATATATCATCACATCAGATGATATATAAGGAGTTGCAGTGGAGTGGAGACATAGCTCCTACAGAAAATACACATGATTCTTTTTCCTTGATGCGTGGAGGATTTTTTCCTTCATAGAGCTTTCTAGAGCTTGCAGAAATAAGATGAAGGAACACTCGATAAAACAAGAGACTTTACCTCCATTGAGCACTAGCTGCTTCTTTAATTTTTTTTTGGATGATTATTGCTCAACTCTGAGACACCAGTATTTATGTTGCTTTATTATAGCTGCTGTGAGTGCTTTGGCTAAATTTGGGGCTCAGAATGAGAGTCTTCTTCCAAGCATCCTTGTACTTTTACAAAGGTAAGTTTAAAAAAAAAAAAAAGGTCTTAAAAAAAGTTCTGTATGGCTAAGTAGTAAAATCCTCTTTGTTGTACCATACCAGATGTATTGTAGGGCCCAAGAGAGGAGCCGATAGAGTAATTTAGAGGCATATAGCTTTTGTTCTCTCTGATAATTATGTATGTGTGAGATACATGTAAAATTTGAGTTTAGATTTCTCTTAGTATGATTATGAGGAAGTAATCTAAGTATATGCCCTTTAGTTTGTATCATAGGCACTACCTTCAAAGAGATCTTTGTGGTTCATATGAAGAGTTGAAAATACTAGGTTTTCATGGTCTGCATAACTCCCTGTTTGGTGCAAAAGTGACTTGTTTTAGCAAAAAAAGATGCATTTTATAATTGAGCAGATAAATCACAAACCAAAGCTGGCTGGCTTAAATGAGACAAATTGCCATTTGAACACTAGCAATGCCTAGATTCTGAATTCTGTTTATCTTTTTAGTATCCTTGGAAAGTGTAGTATTTTCATTTTTAATTATAGAGAGGTCTAAGTCTTTATCAGGATCATGTGGTTGCAATGCAGGAATAGATTCTAAAGTATCTCATGTGGCTATGCTATTTGTAGTTATTTAATGCCTACTGATGTAGTGCTTCTGATTTACAAAAGCAGTATTTCTTTAGTAATTCAGAATAGTTCCTAAGATTTAGTGGAGACTTTAAGCCAGTGTTGGCTATTGTTGAGCTCTTTTTTAAAGGTAGTGTAAGATGACCAAATTGCGTCCTTTAGGTATAGTGGCAAAGCTATTGGGATCTTGGGGGTATTGAAACATGCTTATTCTGTGTCCCCTTGATAGGTGTATGATGGATACTGATGATGAGGTACGGGACCGAGCAACCTTCTACCTGAATGTGCTGCAGCAGAGGCAGACAACACTCAATGCTACATATATTTTCAATGGTCAGTGAGAGCTAAGAATATAGACAAATACACTTTTGCTCCCCACGTAGGGTCTTGAAAACATATTTTTTGATTTTGCATATTACCTGACTCCACCAGGTAAATGCTTCGTTTTTTACTTTGAATGTACTTCCATTTCTAGGAAAATATTTCATAATTTGGCAATGGAAATTCCTAAGAAAAATCTGTAGGAATGTATTTCTTGCTGGGCGCCAGTGGCTCACACTTGTAATCCTAACTGCTCAGGAGGTGGAGATCAGGAGGATCATGATTCAAAGATAGCCCTGACAAATAGTTTGTGAAATGCCCAACATGCAAAAGGGGCTGGCAAAGTGGCTTACTTGGTAGAGCACCTGTCTAGCAGATGAAAGGGCCTGAGTTCAAACTTCAGTATCATATATATATATGTATATGTATATGTATATATTTAAGTGATATATGTATATATAGATACATCTTAAAGTATGTAAGGCTGTAAAGAATATTGCTTATTCTTGGTTTTTCTTAATCTCCTTCTTAGATTATTCTACTTTTTTCCCTTTTCTTATGCTTTCCTTGCTCCATATAGCTTAAGGTACTTTACATTCCAAGAAGTACTTACATTTTGTTGAAAATTTGTATACTCTTCTCCCATGTTTCCTTGAAATCTATTAGGCAGGGTTTGTTTTTCTGTTTTTTGTTTTTTTGGGTTGGTTTTTTTATGGTTGGTTTTGGTGGGAATGGGGTTTGAACTTGCTTACAAAGCAGGCCCTTTACTCCTTGACCAAGCTTCCAGAACATTTTGCTATTGTTATTTTGAAGGTGGGGGTCTTATGAACTAGGATCCTCCTGATCTCAGCCTCCCAAGTAGCTAGGATTACAGGCATGAGCCACCAGTGCCTGGGCTTATAGGCAGTTTTATATAATAGCCTTTATTTTAATAATATGAGTTATAGAGTTTTAAGTTATGGTGTCTTTCCTTCAGAAAACATTACAAATCATTGGTAAGAGGTTATAATGCTGAGATTTGTCTACATTTGCAGGCCTGACGGTCTCTGTACCAGGGATGGAAAAGGCCTTACACCAGTACACACTGGAGCCTTCAGAAAAACCCTTTGATCTCAAATCAATTCCTCTTGCTATGGCTCCTGTCTTTGAACAGAAAGCAGGTAATAAATACAATTAATTCTGTTAGTTTTTCTGTCTATAAGTAGTTTTTCAAAACTAGTAAATATTAACATATTTTCTCTAATATTTGTTTTGCTTATTTAATTGTTATTCCTAAATCTTTCAGATCTAAAATAGATGACGTTTTTGGTTAGGGTTTTTTTTTAAGTGTCCTGATTTTTGCATAAAATTGAGAATGTGAAACATATCCCAAGATGAAAGTTTTGTTTTTGTTTCATTTTGGTTCTTTTAATGCAGTGTTACAGCATTTGAGGTTAGTTGCCACTGCCACTGTGTATCTCAGAGTAGTAAATAGTGCTATTACCACCTATTTTTGTTTTCTGAGTTTCTTATCTCTTAGTTTTTCTGTTGGAGGTTTGTCTTAAAAGAATGTCAGACAAGATCATAAAAATCATTTCTACAGAATGGGTAACAAAAGTAGGAGAAGAAGAATAAACAGAAAAGAAAGAAAGAATGTATTTAGTGGGTAGAACAAAGAAGAACTGGGAATGAAAGATCTTAGCTTAATTTTCATCATTTTCAGAGGTTTTTTGTTGCTACTGTCCCTGTTTTGATTACAAAAAGATTTGTTTTATAAGTTTGTTCTCATTTTATGAGTAACTTTTATACACTACAGTCTATTTAAAGCAAATTCTACATTTTAGGGCTTACATTTTCTTTTATATCATTATATTCACTAAATGCACTTTGAGTTCCCCCCCCCCCAAAAAAAAAACCATAGGTGACAGAGAACCTATTGGTATAATTTAGCAATAAGCCATTATATAGCTGCCAGAGGTTTCTACCCTCATTTCTTTCTGTCTGCATTGTTAGCTTGATAGTGGAGGAAGCTCAGTTGATTGCTCATATCTTTCTTTGTAGAAATCACACTTGTGGCTCCTAAGCCAGAAAAGTTGGCTCCTTCCAGGCAAGATATTTTTCAAGGTATGATGATTTGATGGGTAGAACTAATGATCTATAATTCCTAAGCATTGTAAATATAGTAAAGTCTGCTGCTCTTGTTCAATTTGATTAGTGTGAAGTTCAGGAAATTTTTGTGTGGCTGAAGATCATAGGTTATAGTTGCCAGGACTAACTAGAGTCCATGAACTTTCCAATTTCCAATTACTAGTTTACTAACTGGGAATATTGTTCTTAGGTGTATCTTCTTGGTTAACAGGAAACTTAAATTGTAAGAAGTTGGAAATTTGGTTTCTTTCTTTTGCTTTTAGTAATTCAGCATATATAAACTTGTTAACTTAAAAGGTTATTTCACTTAAGCTTGAGGACATGTTGAGTGTTCAACTATTAGTAAGGCAATAGAAACTAGAACATTTTTCCATTTTATGAAAACCAAAACATTTTAGTAAAGTCTCTGCCTGTCTTCTTTATATCTTACTTTCTTCCTACTTTTTCTTTTTTTCTTACTAGAACAATTGGCCGCCATTCCTGAGTTTATGAATCTAGGACCCTTATTCAAATCTTCTGAGCCCGTTCAACTTACAGAAGCAGAGACAGAATATTTTGTTCGATGTATCAAGCACATGTTTACTGATCATATTGTGTTCCAGGTAAGATTAGTACCTTTGATTCTTGTAGGCATTTAGTATAAACTGGTATGCTTGGAGACAAACATCACTTCCCCTTTTACGTTCTGATTCTAGTTTTTTGTATTAAGAATTGATTTAGGGCTGGAGGTGTGCCACAGACATTTTACTAACAAGCTTGAGGTCCTGCGTTCAAACCCCAGTACCGCCCAAAAAAAAAGATTTAATGTAGCAACAATTCTAGTTTTATTTCCAGAGATATAGAGATCCCTTCATTTGATGGAAAAGAGAGAAAGGGAGGTGGGGGCAGGGGAAGGAGGAAGCTGAAGGGGAAGGGGAAAGAAAAGAGAAAAGGAGTAGAAGAAGAAAATAAATGTTTGAAACCTATAATTTTATCTAGAGAGGCAAGATACAGTGAATTCCAGAGCTGAATTGTAGATTATGAGTGGGAAGGAACAGCTTGCTTCAAAACAATTCTTACCCTTCATAACTTTACCCATTTGCTGACTTTGCAGTTTGATTGTACCAATACTCTCAATGACCAACTATTAGAGAAGGTGACAGTGCAGATGGAACCATCAGATTCCTATGAAGTTCTGTGTTGCATCCCAGCCCCCAGCCTCACATATAATCAACCAGGAATATGTTACACTCTTGTTCGATTGCCTGATGAGGATCCTACAGCAGGTACTAATCCATAGAAGGCAAAAGATATTTATGTAATTAAAAATGCATTACTCTTGAGCTCCAAGAATGTCTGGACAAATGTTTAGTGTTCAAGAATATGACTCTTTTCCATAATTTAATGTAATAATGGTTATATGAGTGTATGTATGCCTGTGTGTATATAAAATTGGTTACTGCTACAGAAATATTAATTTTAAAACTAAGTGAGTAAAATTTGCTGACAGTTTAATCTTAAAAGAGAAACTGAATGTATACAGTGGTAGTCCGAAAAGGATCTCAGGCTTTCTATGGGATTGATGCCTCCTGTGAAGAATCATGACCTCTGATGTTTCTTTCTAGGGCATCCTGGAAAAATGTGATTACTTTGCAGATAGCTGGCATTTTAAAACACACCATTTTTTGAAGGTCCTGTAGCATAAGGCTATTGTCTGAGACTGTGTTTCACCCTAATAAGTAGCTTAGCTAACTATTATATATCCAAATTTGAGAAAGGTTTTGTCATTTACTTGACCTTGTGCGGTGTGTGTGTGTGTGTGTGTGTGTGTGTGTGTGTGTGTGTGTGTGTGTGTGTGTGTGTTAGGGGAAGTGTGTGTGTGTGTGTGTGTGTGTGTGTGTGTGTGTGTGTGTGTGTGTTTAGGGGAAGGAAGCTAAAAGAGAGCCAACTGCTTGTGTCAAGTATTTATAAAGTTGGGGATTTGGAAAGATCTTGTGCTCTCCCTCTTGTAAATGTCAGGTATCTGTTGTACTTAATTTTTCTAGTCCACTGTGTTCTCTTCCCACTTTCATTGCAGAAACACTTACAGTTGTTACCCAGTTTTCATAGAAATAAGCATACACATCACACTGATGTTTTGAACAATTTTTACTACTTATAAGTACAGGAAAAACAGATAGAGGGTTAACAATATTAACAAATATTGGGGAAGTTACAGAGTTACAAGAAATCATAAAAGTACTAGTAAGTAGTTATCCCTGGTCATCATTTCAGTTACATCTGGGGCTTAACCTGCTTTCTTTTATAGCCCCTCTCCTAACTCCCTTCTTAGATGTTGGTCCTGGGAGCCCCTGCTGTGTTGGGCGCTAGACCAGGCTGCTCAGACTCTGGCACGAGGTAGATTCAAGTTGGCACCATTGCTGAGTCTGAATCCCAGGTTGTTCCCTCCAGGACCACCAGGGTGGTCCTGGGTGGAACTGTATGTCTGTTCTACAGCCACCTTGGATCTGTAACCTCCTGGGTGGGAAGGCACTTTCCTATCTGGCCTCTGATATTTCTCCTTTGTACTTTAGGCCATTTGGCTTTAACCTCTAATTACCTCCTTTATCCCTTTGTGAGGTTTTTCTAATTCCATTTCCTTATAGCTTCACTTTCTTTCCTGGTCTGTTTCTCTCTCCAGTTAGTTGTGTCTGAAGTGTGTCCACTAGCCAGTAATTAAGCTGTCTGTACTCTTAAGTAAAGCTAGTTTTTTGGGTTTTTTTCACTTGTTCCAAACTAATATCTGGGCCCACCCTTTTTGTAGCTTTGTGGTTTTGCCATCATCCTGGGAGACTCTGCATTTTATCAGTTTTTTCCAATAGCCATTTCTCCTTGCTTCAGAATTCCTCCTATTGACCTTCTCATCAAGTTTCTGTTTTTTTAAGGGATGATATTGCTTTACCACTTAATTTCAGAGGGAAGTGAAATGCTGAACCCATTGAAAAATCCAGTCCTTCCCAACTGAGTAATACTAGCTCCTCCCATTTTCACTTTGATAACTTATAACTCAGGTGCCCCACACTCCAGGGAGTGAATTAACAGAACTCAATAAGTACAGTTTTACAATACCAAAATACACAATACCAAAAACAACAATATTGAAATTACAGAAGTTACATATATGATAGGAAAACAACAACAACAAAATATTTCCACCAAGAAGGGAAGAATAGAGAAAGTTTCCTCATCTCTCTTCACTAAGGAATTTATTCTTTGTTAAACATAGATCTCACAAATTAGTCCAGAAATTTCAACCTTTGGTCTGCTGGCTAGGGATTTTAATTTTTGCTTATAAAGATTTGTAATCAGAGATTTTTTTTCTTTTATGTTAAGCTCACAGTGTTTCCTGGTCAGCGATAGAATTTGGTTACAAACTCTTACCAATGCATCTTGGAAAAAAGGAATGGAATCTTGTCTTACACTTGGACTTTTAAAGTTAGGCTAGCATTTTTACCCTGTTTAAAAACAAACTCCTTTCTATTCTTTAGTTTTTGTTGAAATCTCCAACTTTTAATCCATGGCCAATCTAAAGTCTTTGCTATGCAATGAAAGAAGTGAAATGCTAGGACATAAATGGTAATGAAAGTCTTTCACCCAATCTTTCTCTTTTTTTTTTTCATTTTCTCATCTCAGGTAAGTCCAAATTTTACCAGTCACCTCAAAATTTATCACCTATAACATATCTCACTTCAGAAAAATATTTTTCCTTATAGTTACAGGGAAAAAAACAGAAATTCTTGGTTGTGATTTCCTTCAACTTGAAAATAATGTATCATAATAGAAAGGAATGTACATTTTATAGACAGGTGAGAATTTGAATTCTGGTCCTGCTACATACTGGCTATGGTCTTGAACAGATTATTTGATCTGTGTAAGCCTGTTAGGATTATTGTAAGGATGAAATAAGTATGATGTTTGACATGGCTCTGGACACATAGTAAATAATAGACACTATTTAATTCTGGAATTATCTACTTTTTCCCTTCATCAGTTTTAAAATCAAGTCTTCCACATTTCAAAAGACACTATCTTCCATTATCCTCCAAAAGGTTGTTACATCAAATATACCTTTTTTTGCTCAATTGTTAAACTTTTCCATTCCCCCTTACTTAATAAGTGTACAAAAACCTACCCTATCTGAAAACATTTGCCTTAACCAAAACATCATATTCCATAACATCTTCTCTCAAAGCTTGGGAAATTTCTTGGAAAACTGATCATAGGTCTTGACTTAATCACTCCCATTTATTATCTTAGTCCTCTAAGAATTACTCATTTATTCACAAAGTTTTAGAGAAACTTCTAAGGCAACATTCTTTGTTAACATCCACTCTCATTTGGCAACTTCCTTTCCTCTGAATATTTCTTAGACCAGTAACAGTTCTACCAATTGTTCCCCACTTTGGACCTTCTTAATATCCCTAACTACCATTTTTATTCCATTGTCTATTCATAATCATGTCAAACCTTTATTACTTTAATTTATTGTATTATCATGCTAGGCTTTATGACATCATATTTTTCATCATCTAGAAATATTTCAGTAATGCAAATAACTCATTTTAAACAGTCCTCCATAGAAAATATCCATACTAAGATAAACTTCAACCGTATAGGTATGTGAGTTTCCTTTCACTCTTTTTCACTTAGAAATACTCCCTGCCATATAACAAATCATAATTCTTTTATTTATACTTCACTTTGGGGCTTTCTGCCTACACTTCCTTTAAGTGTATCTTAAATTTAGTTCCCACAACAAATCCAATGGACTAAAACTTTCTCTCTGTATCTGTAGTCTGCCATCCATTATTTTTTGTTCAATATTAATCATCTTAGAGTATGTTTGTTTTTTTTTTTACATTGACTAACCTCCACTCACTGGGTCCACTCTAATAAGCCTTGATAAAACTTTGCATTTTCAATGCTAAGCACTGAACTTAAATTTTTGTTCAAATACTGACAGAGCTGGATTGGCAAGACATTACTATTCACATTACTATTCAATCACTGTTTCCCCTGAATTTATTACTGTAACTTGTTTAAGTCTTAATATCAGTATTCCTAAAATTTGACCCATTATGAAACTTTCCAGGTGTCCCAGGATCTGACCGCATTCCCAGTCAAGAACTCCTTATTCACTTTCTTACTCATCTTTACCTACTCTTACTTTCCTCAAACTCACTGAAATTTCTGTCATGCTCTTTTGAGCCATCTCCCCAGCCTCGTCGATGTACTATTCAAGATGATGAGATATATGATCCCCCATCGTCCTCATTGTCTGTAATCTTGACTGATAACCTTACTTAAATGATGCTATCATTCCAGAAGACTACTTCAAACATGGTGTACCCAGTCACTCCTTCTGCTCCTCTGCATTAGGAAAAATAAAAATAAAAACACCTGCTCTATTGGTGCTGCCCAGGCCCTGTTTACTCTTCATTGAAATAGATTCCCAATGTGAATATGTATGAGCTTCCTCCTTACCTGCTATTAGTGCTCAAATGTTTCCATCCTCTTAGCTTCAAATATACTCACCTATATCCCTGGTTACCAGGTGCATTTTTTTCTGAATATTGCTGATCAAGCTCTCTCTTCAGAGGCCACTTAACTAATTTATCTCTTACGTGATCATTTATTATCCCTGCCCCTACCCATACATCAGGTGATTATCTATGGAGCTTTCAGTCATCCACCAAATTCCCTATTGACAACTCAGTTCTCCACATTCCTCGTTTTCCCTTACTCTGAAATGCAGCGAAGTTTAAAGGACAACACTAGTGATCTTATCAACTCTAAATTTTGTAAATAATTCCCAGGATGATTTGAAAGGAATACTGTCCTGTAACCCCAATTTCTTCTGTTTCAGTTTACTAATGTTGTTGGAGACCATGTTAAATATATTTCAATTTATATTGAGCTCTTGAGTTTTCGTTGTTTTTTTTTTTTAAGTTTTTTTTCTTTTTTCTTTTTTTTTTTCTTTTTTTCATTTTTTTTTAAAGACAGGGACTCCTTGTGTAGCCCAGTCTGGCCTTGAACTGGCAGTCCTCCTGCATCCCTCTCCTGAGTTCTGGGGTCTCAGGTATACCAATACCATGCCTGGCTCACATTTGCATATTTTACAGTTATCATACGATTTCTAATTCCTGACCTCTAATGGTTTCTGTCAGTACCTTCTTAATTGGTTGGCTTCTGTTTGTATTTACTCATTGGGGAAGTTGTTTGCACAAGATGTTAAGGGTATTAACCC